CTACAATAGGAAGTTAAGACCACTCTTATAATCTATAGCTGAAAGAAAAGTTTACTCACTGAACACTTTGACAGTCCCAATATGACATATCTTTTATCCTTTCTCTTGTGTCCATGAGTCACGGTCAAATATATATTGCTGAACCAAAATTCAGAGAACATGTGAGAACCTGAAACATATTCAGGAAACGGCAAGAGCACCAATTCTACAATTAAACTACGTACCAAAGAGGCAAACATTGGAAAGGTGTACACGTAAGAAACCTGAAATCTATCAGAAGCCATAACAAGAGCATCAGTTTTTGTACTCGTCATTATGCACTTTATCTCTGCAATTTGAATCTCCTCTAAAAGCATACAAAAAAATCTGTACACGGTTTTAGTAAATGCATCCTCATTAGATTAAGTCGCTAATCAAATAGAAGCAATGACCAGGTAAAAATTATTGCATTATTCTATTAGTATCCAGTCAAATATATATTGCTGAGCAAAAATTTAGAGACATGCCTAGAGTTACAGGATTGAGGAGTAGGAAGAGGAGAGCTAGAGACGTGCCTAGAGTTGGAGCTGGTAGCAGTGGGATGAGAAGAGGCGATCGATCTACAGATGAGCTCATCTCCTCGGCGTCATCACGGCACTCCACCTCTTGTTGGCAAGTGGCGCCGGCGGCCCAGGTGCGCCACCGCCGAGGGGCCCTGTGTGCCACCGCCTAAAACCCTAACCCTAGCAAAGGCAAGGCAAAGAATTCGGTAAAGCCAAAACAAAAATTGAACAACAAAAAAATCACGAACTGAGAAGGCTGCCGATTAGATCGAGACCGTGGAGAAGGCGGAGAAGTGCCGCCGGTGATGGGAAGAGGCGGCTCTGGCGATGGAGAGGGGCGGCGCGTGCGCTGGAGCCCGACAGCGCACATCGCGGGGAAGAGGTCGAGGTGGTGCACGTCCGGCGTGCCGTGGCGAGGAGCGATCGAGGAGGGGAGGCGGCGGAGGGGAGGAGAGGGGAGGTGACGGAGGGGAGGAGAGGAGAGGGAGGGAGAGAGAGAGGCTAGGGTTTCGTGGAGCACAGAAGCAGACGCTGACCGGCACGAGGAGGCAGCAAGGGGTGGGAGGCACACCGGCGAGGCCCGCTCGCGCGGCGCCATGGACGGAGACGGGCACCGCTGGGTCCCATGGCCGACGCTGCACCGCAGCCCGGGGGTGCCGTCGGTCACCGCTAGCGCCTCGCGGTGTGAGGCAGCGGCGAGGGACCGGCCGGCACAAAATGACGTGATGGGGGGAGGAGGTGGTGGAGAAAGGCGGCCGCAGCCGCCGCACCCGCTCGCGCCAGGCGTCGCCGCCGCCCTGTCCGCGTCGAGGGATAGAGGTAGCGAAGAGGAGAGAGACTGAGAGAGGAGGGGGAGAGAATTTTGCTGAAGGTGGCCGCTATATATACAACGGGCATTTATAGGGGCGGCTGGTGATTCAGCCGCCCCTACAAATGGACATAGCAGGGGCGGCTGGTAGACGCATTTGTAGGGGCGGCTCGTATTACCAGCCGCCCCTACTGTGCCATTTGTAGGAGCGGCTGCTGTGCAGGAGCCCGAGCACGTCACTGTAAGGGCGGCTCTAATGCCAGCCGCCCCTAAAGAAAAAAAAACCCGATTGCTACAAACTGTTTTTCACGTAGTGAGAGAGGCAGCATGCGACGATGGAAGGAGCGGTGCCTCAGTGCCATCGGCGCTGCCGACAGAGCAGCCTGTGCCATGGCGCGCGGCGGCGTACATAGCTCCTCGGCTTGGTTACGTACGTTTCTCGTCGTCACCAACGACTTTGCCGGCCACTTTGGATACTTAGTACAAGGTCGTTTTGTGATTGTGATCACTAGCAGCTCGGTCGGTGATATAGAGTAATACTAAGCAGTAGTTGGCAAATTATATGCCTTGATGAAAGGGACATGAGAAAATACCAATAATACTCACAGAAGTGGACATGACAAAATAATTGCTGGTGTTGTTCCAGTGCAGCTCAACAGCGTTCAGCGCCACACACATGCTTATGCAGCTGGTATGCTCTTCAGTTCACTGCGCCCGTTCCTGTGCCATCCGCAGCCTGATGGTGCGCCCGTTCGATGCTTAAGGAACGGCTGGGGCAATAGTAATTGTCGACCGTACCTGATCAAAGAACAAAGCGATTTACTCCTAATAAATTTTTTTCCAGTACATCTCTATATTAATATCCTTTTCTCAGTTTTTTTGTGCACCGTACTTTTCTCATTTATTCCTTAATTATTAATTTATGTGTCTAGAGCTAAAACGATAAATATTATGAGACGGAGGGAGTATTGTGTTATTTTGCTTTGTTATTAAATAGTAATTGTGTTATTTTGTTTTTTTAATATGTAGAAAAATTAGTTCTAGTCCAATGATATGGTCTATAGGGAATTAATTGCTAGTTCAGTGATAAATTGTATATACATACGCAAATGTAGTATTTATAACAGGGCAGTGGTGGAGGAAAGCATAGGACTAATTGGACTATATATGACTTTAGGTATTGCTTCATGTTTTCTATAGTATAACACAGTAACACACTATTCTAGGCCAGGGGCAGATCCCACGTGAGTGCAGGGGGTGCCCGAGGCCCCCTGCTCCCTGGAGCAAGTGGAGCCCCACATAGCCTCTCCTCCATTTTTGCTGCCATGGATTGAAGTTTGGAGTTGAAGAAAGCTCTCCTCCATTTTTGTTGCCATGGATTGAAGTTTGGAGTCGAAGAAAGGTGTTGGAGGTCGAGGAAAGACTGTTTGTCTGGTACCCTTTGTATCTAGCCCCCCATCTGGGTCCCCTACAGGCCTAATGCATCTAGCAAACTCTGCATATGTAGTGACCCTATGCGTTGGGCTAGTCTAGCTCCGCTACTGCAATCACCAGAAACACAAAAGTATACCTAAACCTAAAAAGAGCTATGCAGAGTAGCACTAGCTCGTTAGACTATTAACAAATTGCTTGAAGATCCAGGAGTTAGCTGTAAAAGGAAAAGTTCTATTAAACATCCCATAACTAATTTCCATAGTTTTATTGCTTCATCAATTGCAAAAACCAGATCTCCTTACTCCCTTAACTATTTAATACCATGCAAATCACAACCGGTTTTGATGCTGGTGTAGTGTAGAAAATTAAATCTCTGTATTTGACATCCCTCAACTTTATTTGTTTCAATGATCTTCAAGGTGTTTTCGACATCATAGTTTCATGGGTAGCGAACTCCGCAATATGACATACTTTCTCTCCCTCTTATGTTTGTTGTGCTAGGATGACCCACTAGAGAGAGTGAGTTACATTGGTAGGAAAAATATCATCTATTTAACACAAATGTTGGACGTAGAATATTAAAAAAATATTTCACACATATCTAAACATTTTATTCCTCTGTTACATTGTACAAAAATAAGCTACAGCTTGCTGTCACAAACGACAGTCTTTTCTACCACTAAATACAAAAAAAATTGAAACCTTATATCAAGTCATTAGCTACAGTGGATCTAGAGCGCTAGTACTCAATGAAATGACACGTATCAGGAACGCAATTATAAGCTAACCTAACATTTTGTACCAATCGAAGATATATGGTGGCCATTGTATATATGTAACACATCATATGGAACCACCTTCAAATTATAAAGTGATGATTTGCTCGGTATTAAATAGTCAAGTAAGCATTATTCTAAGGTTAAGGGAGAAAAGTTGACCATGGTAATGTTAAGAAAGGTGAAATCCATCTTTCTCACCTAAAACCACCGAGGGCTGTGATTTGCATGGTATTGAACATATAAGGGAGTAAAGATATTTGGTTTTGTGATTGACAAAACAAAATTGGACTTAGTCAATTTTTAATGAAGGTTAAACAAACTTTTTCAATTGCAGAACTGTCTTATGGGGGAATTCGGGTAATAGGCTAAAGCGAGGGCCTCTATCTAACGTGCGAGCGTTGTTTGAAGTACTAGCGATTTCTCCTTCTTCATCATGTCGTTTTTTCCTCCACTCATCTTCCCCAACTGCCCTCACCTCGCCGGCCTCCACCGCCACCCAGGTTGCCAGCGAACTTGCTGACAGCCCCCACCACTGCCACTGCAGCCCCGCCCATCTGTCCCGTTGCCGTCCACCTCGTCCACCACCACCGGGCCAACGACGAGCACGCCACCATGCCGGTTCGCCCATCTCTCACTCCATCCATGTACTCGCCATCCTACCCTAATCTTGTTTCTAGCCGAATCAACTCTTGATACGTGTCCGCGCGTTGCTTTTTTGTGCCGGCACATGCGGGCCAAAACAAGGATTTGGCGCTAAAGCCCCTATCAGCATTTGAGCCCGTTTTGCAATTTTTGCATAGGGAGCATCCTTCGGTTTTCCAGCACAAAGAGGCTGGAACAACCACGCACAACACAATGGGAGAAAGAACAAAATTCTCCTGGTCCCTCGGCCACCACCCTTTATGCTTGTTTCCCACACTTTACAGCTAAGGGAGTAAAGTTATTTGGTTTTCCGATTGGGGGAACAAAATCAGACTCCATCCATATCTGAAGAAGGTTAAATGGGCTTTTTTTTTCCAATGCGAAACTGTGTTTTTTTTTTTTGTCTTAGGATCAGGATGTTGGAATTCGGGCGGAGCCAAGCTGGGCTAAGGGCTCTATCAGCCTTTCAGCCCGTTTTGCAAAAATTTTTAAACCATATTTTTTGAAACCACCCATTGTGCAATTTGGTAAAGGGAGCAACCGCAACGTTTGTTTTTTCAGCAAATCAGCACAATTGCACAATCAAGCTGCCACTTGGCCACGCACCCACCGCCCTATGTGATGGAAGCACCACGCACCCCACCATGGAAGATTGGACGGAGAACCAAATTCTCCTGGTCCCTCCGCCGCCCCTGACAACAACAGAGCGTTCTGCTTGCTTCTCCCACTCTCTTACCGGCGTCGACACTGAGGAAGCAACTTAACAGATCAGCCACGCACGGCCATCCGCCAGCCATGGCTCACGACGGCAGCGAAGACGGCCACGCCGCGCCGCTGCTCACGCCACGCCCGGAGTCGGCCGGGCCCCGGTGGTGGAAGTGGAACATGTACCCTTTCGCCTGCGCCACGCTGGCCTCCATGACCACCGTCCTCATGGGCTACAGTTCGTTCGTCGTCCTACTACTGTCCCATCTTCATCTTCAACCTCTAGCTAGTTAGCAGATGCAAGGATCTACACCATATAGGTGACGTGGGGACTGCTTCTTTTCTACCCTTGCAGATCTCGCGGTGATGAGTGGCGCGGAGCTGTTCATCAGGGAGGACCTGGGCCTCACCGACGCGCAGACCGAGGTGCTCACGGGCTCCATGAACCTGTACATGCTCGTGCCCATCCTCGCCGCCGGATGGGCGGCCGACCTGCTTGGCCGCCGCGGCACGCTCCTGCTCGCCAGCGCCTTCCTCGTGGCTGGAGCGCTCTCCATGTCACTCGGCCGCAGCTACGCCGCGCTCATGGCCGCCCGCTTCGTCACCAGCGTCGGCGTCGGGCTCTCCCTAGTCGTCGTGCCGGTGTACAACGCCGAGATCTCGCCGGCGTCGATGCGCGGCGTCCTGTCCTCTTTGCTTGATGTCAGTATTCTCTATTCTGTGCATGGACGCACACCTTCTAGTTCTGCCCATGATTTCGAAGCTTTATTATTAGTTTGCATTGATGGATGTGCTCTGCTCGTGGCGTGCAGATCTTTATCAACGTCGGCATCCTTCTCGGCTACGTGTCGAACTACGCGTTCGCTGACCTGCCGGTGCACCTCGGCTGGCGCGTCATGTACGCCGCGGGAGTGCTGCCGCCGGTGCTCCTCGCCGCGGGGGTGCTGGCCATGCCAGAGTCACCACGGTGGCTCGCGATGCGCGGGCGCTACGCGCACGCACGCGCCGTGCTGTCGCGCACCTCGGACACCCCGGCCGAGGCTGACCTCCGCCTGGAGGAGATCAAGCAGGCCGTCGCCGTCGCCGCCACCGCCGCAGCTCCAGGATCCAGAGACGACGACAACGGCACGTGGACGGAGCTGCTCGTCCGGCCAACGGCAGTAGTGAGACGAATCCTCGTCTGCGTTGTCGGGCTGCAGTTCTTCCAGGAAGCGTCCGGCATCGAGGCCGTCGTGCTGTACAGCCCGCTGGTGTTCAAGCGCGCCGGCATGTCGTCGTCGGACCGCGTGGTCCTGGGCGCCACCGTCGCTGTCGGAGCGGTCAAGACGCTCTCCATCCTCGTGGCCACGTCCCTCTCAGACCGCCTCGGCCGGCGCCCGCTCCTGCTGGCCAGCACCGGCGGCGTGGCCATGGCGATGGCGTCCCTGGCCGCGTCGCTCTGGCTCGACGCGACGTCGGCGTGCCTCGCGTCCATGCTGGCCTTCGTCGTGGCGTTCTCTGTCGGGTTCGGGCCGTTGGTTCCGGCGTACGGGGCGGAGGTCCTGCCGCTGCGGCTGCGCGCGCAGGGCACGAGCGTGGGCACGGCGGTCGGGCGGCTGGTGTGCGCGGCGGTGAGCATGACGTTCATTTCGCTCGCCGGTGCCATCACCATGCCTGGGTGCTTCTTGCTATATGCCGGCGTGGCGGCGGCTGCGTTTGTGTTTGTGTACACGCGGCTGCCGGAGACGAGGGGCCGGAGCCTGGAGGACATGGAGGTGCTCTTCGCCAAGTGAGGCATGGGTGTGGGGTGTGCTCTGTCCGTGCCAGCGCGGCGAAACGCGAAGAATGGATTGGTTATTCTGGTTGCATTGGTTTGTCCGGTAGCTTTTGAAAATGCATGCCATGTATAGTGACTACTACAGTGCTAACATGGGTGCTGTCGAGGTAAAGGTGCTACATGCACAGGATTTAGGCTCCAGATCTAAGAGTATAAACTTGATCGGCATTACAATCCCAACTTTGTGTTAACACCAGCCAAGAGTCTAAAGTTCAAATAATGTTACAGTGCATCCGTGTATTAAATATGGTTCTAAGTATCTATTTGGATCACTTAAAACTAAAGTTTAGATAGACTAAAACTTAGTTAGACAAAAGTTTAGGAGACCAATGTTTAGCGAGTGTTGTTTGGTTACACGGACTAAATGACTATATCTCTGTGTATCTATCTATATCTATGTCTGTCTCTGCAACTAAAAAACTTCAAAAGTCCTCGTCAACCCGATAGCACGAAGGGGTCCTCGGTCGAGCGGTTCCTGGGTTATACGAAAGTTTTTCCCTCATCGCGCGCTACCCTAGTTATACGAAAGTTTTTCACACCAGTAGATGGCCCTCCGGGCTCTCACACACGCTCACGTCAATCCCCATCCATCCCTGAAATTAGGCCGACAATCACGCAACGCTCTTGCCATATAACATGTCCGCCAATAGATCCATTCCTTACTTACATGGAGGCCCTAAACTATCTCGCCACATCTTCAACCGAAGCACCCGCCGGGAGGATGTAGCAGAAGAGGTGAGGCGGTGGCAACTCCTCTCGTGCAGTGATCTGATGGTGAACGTTCACCAACGTGTAGAACATCTGGCTGCGTTCTGACACGATGGGGTTCGGGCCCATGCCGACTCAGATCTGCTAGGCGAGGACCTCCATGTTGGCTACCAAGAGGCCCAGCGGAGGGTACGACGCTGGGGACTCGTTGTCCTTCGACGGAGACTCCTCGAGGGTGTGAAGTTCGTCATTGTAGTTAGTGACGTAGCCCAAGCTCCCAAAGCTGAGAACTTGGACGGGGGCGAAGGAGCCACCGGCAATGACGATTTCTCCAGAGAAGCGCACGTACGCCGCCCTCGGGGGTGACCTCCGCTGGTTTCGGCGATGAGGCGGGTGGCTCTGGCCACCGCAGAGTGATTATCACACACAATGCACTCTCGTATCTAGCGCACCAGCTATCGTGGGTTCATAACCGTGGCAAGCATTGTGATTGTTCATCGGAAGTCAATGTGTGGGTTTGTAGTGGCTCAGACTCTCAAAACATGGAAGGGACACAGCTCGATTTATCCTAGTTCGGGCTTCTGAGCTCTAAGTCCAGCATTATAGTGATCTTCCATGTTTTGAGAGATTGGTAGGGGATCGCTCGGTGCTATCTTAGAGTTCGTTGCTATTCTTTCTCGGGCCCTTCTCAAGTGAATTGGGTCCGATCCCCTCTACAGGGAGTCCTGCCTCCTCTTATATTCTAAGGAGGACAAGATGTATAAGTCGGTTTGGTTCTTGTATATGGTCTATGCACTGGGTGCATGAGTCCTCTGTTGTGGCATTGCTGGACGTCCCTTTGTCGCGTAGGGAGGAGCCGACAGCACTGCAACCGCCTCCTAATGCCGCTACCTTCGTTCTAGCGCTTGACAGTCAGGGGCTGGCTGCTGCAACTGAGCTTCCCCAGGTCAGCCTTCTTGAGGCTTTCTTGGCCTGCAAGGAGCTTTCGCCTAAAGGGGTTGATGAGCGGGCCGGGGCCCTTTGCCCCTAGAGTTGGTAGAGTCCCTTGTCTTGTTATGTCACGCCCGTTGCGTGACCCTGCCGAGAGAGCTGTGGACAGGTCCTTGAGCCCGTCTAATAGGCAGATGGTGTCGTACTCTGTACCTGCCAGATTCCAGGTGCCTGACCGGTCTGAGTCGGATGTCGTCCTGTGGCTCGGGGCGCTGGTTGTCGCCTGGGCTCTGGCTCAAGTATGCGCTCGGTGGAAGTAAGGCTAGGGCTATCATCGCTCGGCAACCCAGGGCTGTTGGCCGAACCCCCGATCCATGAGTGGTGGCCGTGGGGGACCTCAGGGTCGCCCTGACTCCCCCAGAGGGTGCGCGCAAGCATACCCGATGGGTATAGCCCCCGAGCGATCTGTGGGATCGGTCGAGGGGGTCCGTCAGTTGGCTTCTTCTTACTGGTACTTAACATACCCCTACGTTAGACTTGTCAGTTGGCATGCTTGTTTCGATAAACGACAAAAATATAGACACATTGTCCTTTTACTATGTCATAAAATAAACTCTAGTAGTGGCTCTACTCAGGACCTCAAACCTAAATTTGAAGGCAGATCTAGCAGGGTCGCTACTCAAACACCTCAAAGTAAGACTGTCTCCAACAACCACGACCTAAAATACAAGACCCATTCGCCCTCTGGGTAGTGCTACAGGCAAAGGGTTCAATACTTATTTTTGTCTTTTCCAACAACAAGACCCAAAAGACAACCCTTTCTGCAAATGAGTCTCCAGAAAAGAGGATACTCAGATTTGGGTTATGTCTCTTCTGGCTCCTAAAATGGGTCTTCTATATATGTACTCTGTTGGAGGCTACAGGTATTATGTTGGAGACCTATTTTGAGTTTGGGTTCCACAATGGAACTCCTGTTGGAGACAGCCTAAGGAGGCCACTCAAATCCTCCCTCTCGACCCCATTCCAGAGGACTCTCCTTACAGCCCATACTTTACAATTGTGTTGGTTCCCCACCGATTCCACATGTGCACCCGCATGAAACATGCCAATGCCTCCCTTCTGTTCACTGCATCCTCCTCTGCCTCCATAGATTTTGATCACTAGACATTGGATCCATACTTCCCCGCCAACTGAAAAGGAACACAGCTTTGAGGAAGTCTATATAGACGACGTTACTTGTACTATAAATTGTGGAGGTCCCATACTAACTTGAAAATGATAACCGTTGTATTACCTCTATTAGAGCCTCTTTGGATCTCGTTCTTAGTGAGAATCTGAATTCTATGTAGTGAATGTAGATTCTTGATTTTTTTGTGAGGAGTGTTTGGATTTCATACTCCCTCCGTTTTTACATGTCATGTTAGTTTTGTATTAAGTCAAACATTTATATATTTGACCATTGATTTTAAAAAAACTATATAGATTCATAACATAAGATTTATATTTTAGATTCACTGAGAAATACTTTCATAATTTATAAATTAAATATAGTGAATCTATAAGAAATTTTTAAAATGGATAGTCAACGATAGTAATTTTTGACTTAGGACAAAGGTAAGGTAACATGTAAAAACAAAGTGAGCAAGTAGTGTTTACTATCATCGCATAGTAAAAATCTCTAAATAGTATGCGTGCGTAGTAGAGACTGTTTGGATCTGATAGGCAGCGGTCCTATGTGTCTCGTCGATCGGAGGTTGTAGCTGTGGGAGATTGGAGGGCGAGGTTTGAACGTCGCGCGGCGGTGGGGCTCCGTGGTCGCGCGAGTTCAGGAGAACAGGAAGAGGCGGCTAGGGTTTAGGTCTCCCGGCTCCCTTTAGGAAGCCGGAAACAATCTGTTTCTGCTTAATCTCCAATAATCCTGATTACAAGTATTTATGCTAATGAATAATCCTTTTACTAATTAACCCCTTGGGTTATTTGCTAATAATATAAATCACGAAATAAATACTATGGCTTATTAGCCACTAACTTGGTGGCCGGTGCCTGGAGTACTGCAGGCCGGTCATAACAGGATCTCATTCTGTTTTTCCCACCTCTTTCTTATTTCTCTTATGAGATCCAACCAAAGCCTTACATACTTCAATGTAAACAAACCAATGAACGTGGCCCTCTTTTCAACTGCTGCACTGTTATTAAAGAAAACGAAGCTATGCTCAATCCCTGTGTTTACACCAGATTTTGGAAAGGAAAGCGCGGGAACTCGGAGCTCCCCAAGAAGGCCACATTATCCGAGGAACCGACCGATTCAGATCAGTTTTGGGATTGGATGGTTCGGATCTACAGTCGGAATCGGCTAACAATCGATGACGTCATCAGTACCGACTTAGGGCGGTATCAACTGAAGCAAAGAACATGTTGGACTCTATAGAAAGGAAATAGTAGAGTCCAAGTTATCTTTAATTTCGGGATGTTTTCTTTTATTCCAAGTTTTGTAATAGGCCTTATTTGACTAGGACTTGTATTTAGGCCTTGGGTATAAATATCGTACCCCGGTTATTGTAAAAATCATCACACAGATCAATACAATCTTTCCGGCTTTCGCCATTGCATTAGAAGTAGGAGTACTGTAGATCTCGGCGAGTTTTTCAAACGGCAGGGCTGCATCAGTTAGGTCCGACCTCTGGTTTGTTTGTAAGTACCGTCACGGCTTATATCTATTCTTGTACGGCTGTAGCATTTGATCCCCACTGCAAGTCTTAGTATAAGTTAGTTATCAATTTATCTTGATTAAGCAAAGCTGTATCCTTGTGACCTCACTGCTCAATCTAGATTAAATCACCAGTTATCGAATTATTAAAGATTGGTAAGGCTTTCTTACTATTTTTAATAGATTCACCAGTTATCGGTATTGATATCATTGGTATTTTTACTAATTATGGCAATATCACCAATTTACCTGAGCAAGATCAAGATAGATCGGCATCATATCACTTTAATTGGTCGGCTTGTTGCTGTATCGCGCTTAGACTCTGTTTTGACGATCAATTCTGCTAGATCGGCTGTTCTATCTTGATCTCGATTGAACATAGCACACGTTCAAGACGTGTTCAATTTTAAATAGGCTCATTGACTAATGAAATCTGGTATATCGTTCTTTACTACAGCTGCATCGCTTCGATCCTCAATGGTAGGACTTTAGATTGAAAATTTTTGGTCAATGGATCTATTTAACGATTGAATATTATCTTGTTCGTTTGCTACGCATACATTGGCTATTTAGCTGACTATAGCACGCTCTCATGATTCTGTTGAAGTATG